ATGAAGATGCAGTTCCATTGAGGACTACAAGTTGAGTGTGGTTGGTCAGCCAGTTACGAATCCATCTGATGGTGATGCTGTCTAACCCACATTCACATCTTTCGAACACTGAACTTTTAAACTGAGTGGGTGGGGAATATGAAACATGGCAAGAGTGAGGTTTTGAGCCAGCCCACATTTGGATTGGCTCACCAGCTACTTGTGCGAAGAAGATGATGTTATCTAGAAACTGGGAAGGAATAATAGCTTGCCCAGTTCTCTGGCAAAGGGAGCTGTTGATTGCAAGACTTTCATCTCAAACTTCCATTCTTGGTTAAGTCGGAGCTTAAGGTCTCCATGCTTTTTTTTCTAGGTGAGAATTGCAAAGCAGCTAACCCTGGATAGAACCACCAGGGAAGACGAGATCGCCATCCTGACTGGTTATAATGCTCAAGTCGTGGAAATCAAGAAGCAACTTGCTCAGCATGGCATGCGAAACATAACCGTTTGCACCATCATGAAAAGCCAAGGTAAGGAAGGGTTACATCGCTAAACTGGATCCAATTCCTGCTCGAAAATATTGACTGGGATCATCTTGGAAAATCTCTTTTACCCTTCTTTCAGAATACAGGTAGTCCTCAACTTACGACCACAACAGAGCCCCAAATTTCTGTTGCTAAGCAAGACGGTTAAGTGAGTTTTGCCGATAACAAAACAATACCTAATGCATGGGACCCTAACATGCCCCGTCTTCCCGTCCTGGTAGGTCTCTCCCCTATTACATCTGGCTGGCCCACCAGGACAGGAAGTCAGGCGTGTTAAGGGCCCCATCAATTAGGGATTGTCATATGGGGGGAACCACAAAACAGGGCCTTCTCGGTGATGAGCCCTCCATGAGGTATGGTTGGCCCCACCCTGCTATTTTCCAAGAGCCCCTAAAAGCATGATTTTGTCAGTGGATCTGGGGACCACAAATGGAGACGGAGACCATCAAACACTGTAGCTGATTTGATTGTGTTGTTGCTGTCATCAGTTGTGGGGTGGGGTTTTTCAGCAGCTCTGGCATATGATGGCTTTTTTAAATGTTTAAATGTTGTAAGCCAGGGATGTCAAACTCAAGGCCCACGGGCCGAATCTGGCCCACAATGTGATTGGATCCAGCCCACGGGGCCATCCTGGAAAATATAAGGGGCCGGCCCACGTCGCTTCAGCCTGGTCTACCCAATGCGAAGAGGAAACATGCCAGTGGTTTGGAGAGTGGCATCAAGCTACCCATGCCCACGCAGTCAGCCCCACCCCCACCCCGAGGTCAACCACAGCCCTGATGTCGCCCTCAGTGAAATTGACTTTGACAACCCTGTTGTAAGCTGTCCTGAATCAGAATAATAGAATAACAGAGTTAGAAGAGACCTTGGAGGTCTGCTAGTCCAACCCCCTGCTCAAGCAGAAAATCTCACACAGTTAGTCGTCAACTTACAACCACAATTGAACCCAACATTTCTTTTGCTAAGTAACTTTGAATAGTCACTAAATGAATTGTTGTAAGTCAAGTACTACCTGTACCCTCCTGGTCAAATGGCTTTCCTCTGTCTTCTTCAAAATGCCCAGTGTTGGAGCACTAACAACTTCTGGAGTGAACCCATTCCACTGACTAATTGTTCTAACTGTCAAAATATTTCTCCTTAGTTTTAGATTGCTTCTCTCCTTGATAAGTTTCCATCACTTAGGGATGAGTTGGGCGGCTGTATAAATTTGTTTAGTTCATAAGTAAATAAATAAAAAGATGGTTCCAATTTTTGTTTATCAGGCAGTGAATGGAAATACGTCATAGTGTCCACAGTCCGTTCCTGTAATCGGCAGGAAATTGATGAAAGGCCCACAAGGAGTTGGCAGAGTTACCATCTCGGCTTCATAGTAGATCCCAATCAGATCAATGTCTGTCTCACTCGGGCACAGGAAGGCCTCTGTATTATAGGTAAGCAAAAACCTGCTCTGCAGGGAGAGTGGCTTGATTTGCACTGTATCCTAGACTCAAAGGGGGCTGAACTTTAGTAGTTTGGAGGAGGCCCACCGTCATTCTAGCATGTTGAGACAACCAGCCAATTACATTAAGGTGAAAGATGGTTTACAGGTAGCCTTATGATTACCTGAAGTTCGTTCTTTGGTTGATTCTGCCATTCCTGGGACCACAAACCTGTTATCACATCATCCTGAGTGCCATGGGGGGGGCAAGGATAGTTGATGCGCAAAAGGAAATGTATTGCAAAGCCTCTCAACTATCAAATGACAACCTGGCCTTCACGTGGTGCCCCCCGTTCCCACC